AAGGAGATTCCCCGCCATTCGCATGCAAATTTGTGTCCCACTACTGGCCAGTTCTAAATTATTCCTACATAGCGACTAGCGATTGGCTTGTTAGCCGTATAAAATTCTGTGCAACTTCCGCCCAAGTCGGAGAACTTTGAGCACGCTGCAGAGTGCCTTTGAAGATTCCTGACTTGCGGCTGAGCTGATCGATAGCCTGATCACCTATCGATTCTTCTCCCCGTCGCCGAGCGCAATCCTTCGACGTACCCTTTTCCCTGCCGGCCTGACTCATGTCTGGATTCGCTGGCCTGAGCCTTGCCAGCTGGAGCAACTCGTGTAGTTGTTTAAGCGACCGGACCACCTGTGTCATGACTACTAGCAGCGTAAGTAAAGTTTTTTGCAACCAATATGCTTTGTCTGCCTCTCCATTCACCAGCCCGCGCAACAACCGAGTAATTTCTAAATCACCTCAAGTCGGCTCCGGCCGTCTGAGACAGTCTTGTACTCTCCAACAGCACAAGCACAGGGCACTATTATAATGGAGGTGGCAACTACAGAAACACGTGTTGCAGACAACAAGCGAGGAGCACAGATCCACACAGGAGACTATATTTTGGTGCTTGTCATTCCCACAATGCATCATGGAAAGCAGTTTGGCTGCAGGTTTCCACCACACAGATTACGTAACAGTGAATTTACCTCTCATATAACGAATTTTTGGTTTAAAAAGGGTCATTCCATAAGAGTGAATTTGTGCATACAGAACCCGCATAAAGTGAGGGAAACCTATAAAAGTAAAAATACCTTCAATTTTCATTAATCAGAGACAGATTTCCTTTGAAGTTGGCAACAGTTCTGTATTTAACCTTTTCTAAGTGCTTTTCCATCCTAAAGCCATTATTGCCCTGTTCATAAACTGACATCAGTCAGAATTGATCAAGCCTGTCAAAATACTTAGTCATACTCCTGTGAGAGTAAATTCAAATTTAAGCCATGTAAAGGGGAGTAAAAGTGAGACCTTTAGAAGTGCAGTGGGCTTCTCCTAACAAAGGCTTTGTTTGAAGTCCTTTTTAAAAAGTGAGTCTTTTCTTCCATTGGGCTCAAGTTGCACTAAATTGGTGATTTAAAGAAGAGGCTTGTGTGTGTGCAAATATATTGTGGAAGTTCAGGAAATATTTGTCTCTGGTTGTCCTCCAGTGAATTCCTACTTCTGACTTAGTGCCTCCCTTAATTCAAAACTCCTTTTTATTCCTTAAAGTAACTGCTGCTTGACCATTTTGTACATCCCTTTTTCACTCCTAGACAATAGTATCCGATTGTTCCTTTGTGGCATCACTGGCTATCAGCGCAGCATATGAGAGGCGGTACAACAAAAAGTTGATTACAAGGTACATAAAATATTGTTGGTAATGGTGCATGCTTTTAAAACCTGCCTTATGGTTTAGCTTATAACTGCAATGAGACTATATTATGGAAGTGATCATTTAAATTTATAGAGGTGTGCTTATAAGCATACATGAAGCTGAGGTACCACAGTTTTTATAATTAAGTAAAAATTTAAGATGTCTGGGTCAAAATTCTCAAGTATGACTACTTGGATATCTGACATTTTGGTACTAGATTAAAAGTGGTCATAACTTCAGAGCTGCTGAATACCTGCTGCTCTCCTGACCTGCCCTGAGATTTGTGTACTCCCACCACTTTTAAAAATGAAGCAACCTATGGGGAGATGTATAAAATGAAGGTCTCAATTTATGATGTAAAATCCACTTGAAAAATTTGGGCTTTTTTAACAATCTCATTCTCATTTTGATATTCTGTAAGCATGAATCATTGACTTGCTGACGTAGTAAAGTACAGAAACTGCGGCACAGCTGATGCAACAGTATTGTTAAGTGGGACTGAGAGAACATTGTTTGTGATGGGCTTGAACCTGTGGTGAGCTCCACATGAAGCCCGTCCGTATAATATTTATTGTACGATCAGGGCTGATGTGCTTGGTTGGTTTTTTTTTAATTTTGTGTTTTGATTGGTATTTATTTAACGCCTTTCCTTTAATGTCCCTAAGCAGTGGCCTTCTGAAATTATCTTTGTTCTTTGATTTCCTGTGGATTCAGGAACATGTATTTACCATTAAAAGAATTTGCTACAATTGTTGGATTATCTGTCAGTCAATGACTTGATTTCATAGACATTAGGGCTGGAAGGGACCTCGGAAGATCATCGAGTCCAGCCCCCTGCCCAAAGGGCAGGAAGTCAGCTGGGGTCACAGGATCCCAGCAAGATAAGCATCCAGTTTCATCTTGAAGGTGTTCAATGAAGGCACTTGAACCACCTCCGGTGGCAGGCTGTTCCAGACCTTGGGGGCTCGGACAGTAAAGAAATTCTTCCTTATGTCCAGCCTGAAATGATCTTGAAGTAGTTTGTGACCGTTCGACCTAGTCGTCATCCCTTGGGGCGCTCTGGTGAACAAACATTCCCCCAGATACTGGTGGTCACCCCTGATAAACTTGTAGGTGGCCATCAGATCACCCCTGAGCCTGCGCTTTTCCAGGCTAAAGAGCCCCAGGGCTCTCAGCCTGTCATCGTAGGGTCTGCTTCCCTGACCTCTGATCATGCGCATGGCTCTTCTCTGGACTCTCTCAAGCTTCTCCACATCCTTTTTGAATTGTGGAGCCCAAAACTGGACACAGTACTCCAGCTGCGGCCTCACTAAGGCCGGGTACAAGGGGAGAATGACGTCCCAGGATTTGCTTGAGAAGCATCTATGGATGCAAGCCAGCGTTTTGGTCGCTTTACTAG